CATTCTGATATGGTTTACGAGAATAGAAATGTAAAATATTATAAAATTCGTATTTATTGTTCTGATACGGCTTATTATTCTGTAGTGGCGTAAGTGCGGGAATTGATGTCTCAGGTTGTGGAAGGGCATCACAAGCAGGCGAAGATGCCATGAGAGAATGTCCTAGAAAGAGGTTTTTATATTTATTATTCAACCTTTTGTCTTTTAGGTCTGTTTCCCTGTGGAAAAAGCTCATTGATTTCTATATGTAGTTGTTGAGAGGGTTAACTTCAATCTTTATTTTGATTTCCTTAAAATGAATCATGATAGTAGATAAATTTTAGCATAATTTATGGTCTGAAGAAGGTTGCTCATAAATTATTTCCTCTAGAATTTCTACTGACTAACTTGCTATTGGGGGAGCTTTGTATAATAGTTTTTTTTCAGAGGAACGTTTCTGGAGGTCATCTGGAGCCGATTTTGTAAGAAATTTATGATATTGAGAAGTTGAAGAAATGCTGAACTATTATGAGCAATGCTGGCCTGGGTATAAAGAGATGGTCTTGCACTGGATTTAGATTATTCTTCATCTCATGTCTTATTACTTTTCCCCTAAAAATGAAGAGTGATGGCTTCCCTTGGAGGCAAATGAGACATTTTCTGTTCTCTATTCAGGACCCCGGAAACAAGCATGTGATTTGTTTAATTTGCTCTATGCTTTGTGAAATAGGATGAGATGAGCACACACCACCCATTACTTATTAGGGAAGCTGGTATTTTTAGTACACTTTGGTCCTTGTGGCTGAAAAATATGTGGTCTAATATGGACCGTGCCTTGTACAGTGAAAGACACATTGTGAAGCTCTAGTTTGTAGATGCAGCAGAAGATATGACATCTGCAGCTCTGAACCTCTTTGTTTTTGATTGTTTTAAAAGGAAAATTGATGACTAATTTCTGAAAGCTTCTGAATAAATAAATGCTACTAATTTTAGAAACTATGGGACTCTGAATAATTGGAAAATAAATATTGAGTTGACATAAAAACACACATGAGTTCTGACCCTGTCTTCTGGTCAAAACTTTGATGTGTACATACGCGATTATGTTTAAAGGCACAGATATTCTCATACATAGTGAAATACATATATGAATAGGTACACACAATCACACACTATGGCTTAGGGCACATTTTAAATTCCTTATTCAGATATTCTTTCATGTTGTAACAATTAAAAGAGGATTAAAAACGGACAGTCATTCATACAAGGAGTCAGCATCAAGTGTGTTTGAATGTTAGGCTTGTCAAGCTTTTAAATATGATATTGGATTATCCACATTTAAATATCGGCTTGTTGTATTTGCATTTATTAGTTCTCTAAATTTATTTTTTATATTCACATGTTAAATGTAGAGGACAAAACTTAATCAATTGTTTCAAGTCCACGAAGGATAATTTTGAAATGTTACTAGCAATATCTGCTTATGTCATGCTTTGTTTGTTGTCATACTATGTAGGGGGCGGAATGATGCATTCAGTGCAGTAGGAAGTAAAGCCTGCCGTGAGAAAATGAGAAGAGAAAAATTAAATGACAGGTGTGCATATCTTTAACTTATGTATATTTATTCTTTTCCTTAGTCTTATTGCAAATGACAGCTTCAAAATACCCGCATTTTCATTCCGCACTGGTTATGAAATGTATATTGCCTTGCTTAATGTCTTTATATGCAGTGCTCATTGAATGCAGTCAATGAAGTATAACTGATTGAAAAGAAAATGGAATAATTTACAACTCTGTATACATTTGGAGTGTAATTGCCATAAAAGCAAAGTAGCATGAATTAGCTTATTGTTTCTCAGGGGAGAACCATATCTGTTCTTTCAGGTTCTCAGAATTGTGCTCTTTGCTGGAACCTGATAGACCTGTGAAAACTGACAAATTGGCTATACTCGGTGATGCCATCAGAGTTCTAAATGAGCTGAAGTCTGAATCTCAGGAATACAAAGAGATGAACGAAAAGCTTTTGGAAGAGATCAAAACATTGAAGGTTAGAGCAGGTGTTTATACAGCATTTATGGAAATCACTATTTCTCTTTTAATTTTGTTATGCTGGAACCTTGGGCATAATGTACCTCTACAGCATTGTTGATAGATCTGGTTGTTTTCTGATTTGTGACGATCATTCTATTTTTTCTTTAAATTTCTTTTTTGTGATCTCTGATTCAGCTGTATAAAAGGATGACTGTACAGTGCTTTGCTTCCATAGAGAATTTGCTAGGAAGTTGAATTCACCACCATTTTATACAAGTGGACTGGCATTCACTTTAAAGTTTTATTTATTTATTATTATTTTTAAATACTTATGAAGTTCCATTATTTTTTTACTATGAATGCATTTTTTTATTATTATTTTTAAATACTTATGAAGTTCCTTTATTTTTTCACTATGAATGCATTTTTCCATGTTACCAATAGTAATTGGTGGCATTTGAAGCATATACTATAGCCAAGAAGAACATAGTTAAACTCTTGTTTTGTTTGCTTAAGTTTTAAAAGTTCACTTTTATGTTAACTACTTTTTCTTATGATGATTCCTTTCAAGATGGCAAAAGTCTCTCTCTCACTTTATTTTATTATTATTATTATTATTATTATTATTATTTTTTTTTTTTTTTTTTTTTTTTTTTTT